TCACAAAAAATCAGCCGGGCATGGTAGCGCATGCCTGTAATTCCGACTACTGGAAGGTTGAGGCGGAAGGATCGCCGGAGCCCAGCAGGTCGAGGCTGCGGTGGCCGGGATCGGCCACTGCACTCCAGTGAGACTCCAACTCAAAAAAAAAAAAAAAAAAAAATCACTCCCACCCTAACTATGTCAGCAAACTATATCAAACTATATGATCTACAGTATTATAGTTATTTTAAGCCCTTGAGCTGATGTTCTAAATTGACATTACTGTAACAGTAATTTGCTGAAATCCGAAACAGTAAAAAGCAACTCACAGTGATCTATCACAGAAACAAAGAACAGGGTACCACATGTTCTCACTCATAAGTGGAACCTGAACATTTATCAAAATACTATAAGAAAGGAATTGACAGTAGTGGGAAACTGCCAGAGGAGTGGGAGTGCGGGGGTTGCATAAATCAATAAGGGTACATGGTCTCAAATCAGGTGCAGTGGGGACCAAAGGAAGCCCAAATTTTACTTTACAATGACCACTTATGTACCTAATCCTGAATGGTACCCTGCATCTTTAAAATAAATAAATCAATAAATGAAAACAAACGGAACAAACAAAAATAACACTAAAGACTCAAAACTCCCAGAAGACTGCAAGAAGGCTATGTAGAAAGAAAATCATAATTAGGTATGTAATAGTCAAACTACTGAAAACCTAAGATATGGAGAAAATTTTATAAGCAAGTAGAAAGCAAAGTCATGTTATATACAGATTATTAATGATAAGAATAAGTCGTTACATTTTTTCAGAAATAATAGAGACCAGAAGACAATTGAATAACATATTTTATGTGCTGAGGAAAATAAACTGCTATATAGAATTCGGTATCTAGCAAAACATTCATCAAAAATATTAACCAATAAAAAGGAAATCATTATATCAAAAACACCTGTACTTGCATGTTTATTGTAACACTATTCACAATAACAAAATTATGGAATCAACGTAAGTGTCCATACACACACACACAAACACACACACACACACACACATACACAGACATATACCATGGGACACTATTCAGCCATTAAAAAGAATGAAACCATGTATTTTACAGCAACATGAATGGAACTGGAAGCCATTATCCTATGTGAAATAATTCAGAAACAGAAAGTCAGTAACTACATATTTTCATTTATAAGTGGGAGCTAGACATTGGGTACATATGGACATACAGACTAGAATAACAGACATTGGAAACTCCAAAAATTGAGAGGGAGTTGAGAAATGAAGTACTACCAATTGGTTACAGTGTAAACTATTCAGATGATGAGTGTACCAAAAGCCCAGAGTTCACCACTATACAATATATCATGTAACACTACTGTACTTGTTACCTCCAAAATCTATAAAAATTTAAAAAGACTATCTATCTATATCATGTAGTCAAATATGAAAAAAAAGTTGACCCATAAAGACAGAACTTTTCTCTAGTAGAAATTTACTAGAAGAAATGTTGACAGTTCTTTAG